TTCATTTGATTTTGTAAATTAATTTATTTTTCTAAACCTAAGAAATTTTTTAAAAGTAATTTAAAGTTTATTGATTTAATTTATTATGATAAAGAAAAAATTTTTAAAATACATTTAAAAGTTTAATTTTGTTATGGTTTATTGTGTTTTATAGTTTATTTATATTTTAAATACATATAAATATTTTACATTTTGTTATGGTTTGTTATAATAAACAAATTTTTTTTTTTATTATTTTATTTGCATTCACTCCTAACAAGGCTGCAAGCAACCACTATTAAGTTGGGAGTTATTAGGAAAAAAAAGAACAGAGTTATAGAGCAAGGAAACGGTTGACAGAAGACTTGAAAAGTTGAAGGTTGTATGAGTCAGGAAAACATGAAGATGGGAGAGAGTTCCAAAGGATTGAAGTGCGGGGAAAAAAACTAGATGAATAAAAGTTTTTAGAGCATGCAGGGACAGATACAGTAAACGAATGAGACTTAGCTGAATGACGAGTAAAACGAGAATAAATTTTAGTTGATGGAACTAGAGATGATAACTCCTTTGAGCAGTGACCATGATAGTATGTAGAAAAGAGAAAGAGATGCAACTTTACGACGATGGGAAAGAGGTTCAAGCTTAGCAGATAGTCCAGGTCCAACAACATTTACAATGCGATTTTAGACCTTGTCAAAAAGAGAAAGTGAATCGTTAGAAGAACCAGCCCAAATATGACAACAGTATTCCATACAGGGACGAATAAGAGATTTGTAGAGGTAGAGAATGGAATCAAAAGTGAGGAAATGGCGAGCACGATAAAGAGAAGCAACCTTAGCAGAAGCTAATTTAGCAATTGATTGTATATATGGTTTCCATGAAAGGTCAGTAGTAAGCGATAATCCAAGAAGACGTAAAGAGGAGGACTCAGTAAGAGGATTGCCATTCATTAATATAGGAATGTTGACCATATTACGGTAGTTGTTTGCAGTAAGCAACTGGGTTTTTTTAGAGTTGAAATTCACAAGCCACTGGGAACCCCAATCTATTACTGAAGTAAGATCGGATTCAAGATCAGCTGCTTGTTTTAGGCGATCGAAGAGAAGACTTTTTGTCAAGACAGGAGTATAAAGTTGAGTCATCAGCAAAAAGAGCTACTTTAGATGAAAGGTTGTCAGGAAGATCGTTTATGTAGATAAGAAACAAAACAGGGCCCAGGATGGTACCTTGGGGAACCCCAGAAGTTACTGGAAATAAAGAAGAGTGTTGGCCTTCAAGGATGACTTTAATAAATCGGTTAGAAAGAAATGATTTGATAATCTCAAAAACTTTCCTAGAAATACCATATGAAGCAAGCTTATGGAGAAGACCAGCATGCCAAACTTTGTCGAAAGCTTTAGATATGTCGAGAGCAATAGCCCTAGCCTCACCGCCTCCATCTAATGCACAATAAAATCTTTCAGTTACAGCAGTTAGCAAGTCGGCCGTAGAGCGAGAGGATCGAAAACCGTGTTGATTGTCTGACAGTAGTTTATTTGACTCAAGATGAGATGTGAGGAATTTGTTGATCAAAGACTCAAAGACCTTGCTAATAACAGAAAGAAGACTGATCGGACGATAATTGGAGGGGTCAGAATTTTCTCCAGAGTTTTGAATATTGGAACTACAGATGCCATTTTCCAACAAGCAGGAAAACAAGACTCAGTCAAACACTTGTTAAATAGTTTAGAGAGAATTGAAGAAAGTTCTGGAGAACAATTCTGCAAGACTGCAAGGAATGTTGTCTGGACCACAAGCAGTAGACAAGTTTAATTGAGATATGACTTTAGCAACAGAAGCCGGAGTGATTTGAATGTCTAACAATGGGTCAACCTGTTTGACTGGAATGGAAGGAAGAGAATGTCCATAAGATTCAAGAGTGGAATTAGAAGAAAAGTTCTTTGCAAATAGTTCTGCCTTATCCTTGGGAGAGGTAATAAGATCAGTCCCATGAATGAGAGATGGAATGTTAGATCTACCCTTGTTAATAATGCTGTTGAAGATTTTCCAAAAGTCTTTAGTGCCTAACTTCTGCGATAAGATGTGAGATTTAGTGAACTGAGAATAATGGAGTTTAGCATCAGAAAGCACCTTTTTACATCGATTTCTTGCAATAATAAATAGCCGTTTGTTCTCAAGAGAGTTGTTCTTTTGAAAAAGATGAAAAAAATGATTACGATTAGATATAGCAGCCGCACAAGAAGGAGAAAACCATGGAGTAGAATGAGGCTTGACTTGAAACCGACGCGAAGGAATAAAAGCTTCCATTCCAGCCTGAATCCAGGAGGTTATGTAGGAGGCGCATTTGTCAGCTGAGAGAGAAAAAACATCAGCCCAAGGACCATCACGAAGAAAATCACGAAAGGAATCCCAGTCAGCTTTAGGGTAGTAGTAGGTGGTGCGATGATAAGGTGAGCCTAAAAAAGAAGTACGAGAAGAAAGATTTATAGAGATCATTGCATGGTCAGAACCACCTAAAGGAGAAAAGGGAGAAACTGAACATAAGCTAGGGTCAGAGACAAGAGATAAGTCAAAGAGTGAAGGTAAATGATTAGGGTTAGAGTGAAGGTAAATGATTAGGGTTGTCAGGAAAACAAGTCACAAAGTTAACTATATGAGTAAGAGATTGAGAAACGCAGAAGTTAAAGGCTTTAGTGCCAGCAGGATCAGTGGTGTTAGAGCCAAGCCATTCAGTGTGATGGGCATTAAAATCACCAACAACAACAATATTGGCAGAGGGGTAAAGAGAGAGGGCATGGTCAATTTGATCAGAGATAACATCTAAAAGAGTGCAATCATGGGAAGAAGGAGAACGATAAAGAACAAAGAGAAAGATGATAGAGTGAAGAGGTGCTAGGCGAAAGCACATAAAAGAATGGTCAAAGGATTCGAACCTGATTTCACGACAAATAGGGGAATTAATGCGTATGTATACCCCTAAACCTAGCATGTGACTATTGGAGTCTTTACGAATCAAAGGATAGTACCCATCAACACTGACATCTGAAGAAGGAATTGCAGAATTTAAATTTGTTTCACTAAGTGCAAGCAAGTCTGGTGAATTTTGCAGGAGGTAAGACTCAACTGATGGAAAGTTGCTTCGTAGACCGCGAATATTTGTAAAAGATATATTAAAATATTTAGGTGGTGGGGATGGTTTTTTAGGTTTTAAATTTTTGGTTACTTTGGTCATGATTGGGTTTAATGAGAACTTGACTCATTCATAGATAGAGCACAGCCTCCTAATCAATGAGCTATGCAGTTGTCTCAGTCCTGTTAATTAACCCTAAGCCGTGACATAGGGCTCCTTATGTGGCCTTGACAATGCACACCAAAAGCATTAACAGGGACACCACCCATGCGCAACATGGCACTGTTAATACTCTGATATTTTGCAGCTGTTGATGGAATCAGCCTCTCTGAGAGCTACCACAGAGTTCGGGAAACCTTACTACCAGCCGGCCTCAGAACCATTAAACTGAGTTTTAGAGCTGCACCCTCATATGGAGATAACAGGAAGAGTTGCATAGCCATTATCAAGGAGGCTTAAGCAAAATTCTATGAGTAGAGTCAAGGAGATCCATCATTCATCATCCTAGGCAGGAAATAATGTAACACAGGTTACATCTACGCCAGCCTAATAGATGAAGAAGGGGTTCGAGGCTGGTTAGCAGAATTTTTCTGCTTACCCCTAAAGTCTTTGCCTAGGAGGCCTTCTACAAGACAGTAGCTGGATGCAGTTAACATCTGCCCAAAATGAGTGTTTTTATCGAGACACCATCTCTAGCCTTTACTCAACCAAGAGCCCCAAGGCAGGGGATGTTTAGCTGGATACAGTTAACATCTGCCCAAGATGAGTGTTTTTATCGAGACACCATCTCTAGCCTTTACTCAACCAAGCGCCCCAAGGCAGGGGAATTTTTAGTTGGAGTTTATTTCTCCTAGCCTTTGTCTAAGAAGAGCACACTCTGCAAGGCAGCAGGGCTTGTGTCAGGTGGTACTGGGTTACGTGATACCAGTAGCAGGATTGATCTCGATTATCCTGACCTGACCTGGAGTAGTTAAAAGGAGTTACTTCCAGCAACAGTACTTTGAGAAAACCAGGCATGATATTTTGGAAGTGCATTAGGAAAAACACTGCATCTAATAAAATACAGGAGTCTAAGGTGAGTGTAGGTTTTGTAGTTGGAGTAAGTAGTTAGTTACTGAGCACATGCTGCATTAGAGTATAAACAGAACACAAACAAACATAAACATAAATCAACTTACGGGTGAGTCAACACCGCGCCAGAGGTTCAGACAGAACATAAACATACATAAAAAACATAAAGTAACTTACGGGTGAGCGAACACCGCGCCAGAGGTTCAGACAGAACACAAACGTACATAAAAAAACATAAAAAACATAAAAAACATAAACATAAACATAAAGCAACTTACAGGTGGGCGAACACTGCGCCAGAGGTTCAGACAGAACACAGACATACATAAAGAACATAAAGTAACTTACGGGTAAGCGAACACCGCGCCAGAGGTTCAGACAGAACACAAACATACATATAACGTAGATTACAGGTGAGCTAATACAGTAACTAAGGCACCTCCAACTATATGAAAAAAAAAAAAAAAAAAGATAGTACTGATGACAGGAAGAACACTCCTTCTAGCCTTTGCTTAGAAAGCAAATCCTGCAAGGCAGCAGAACATGGAACAGGTTGCACTGGGTTACATGTTACCAGTAGCAGGATGATCATGAAGATCATACTCCTGACCTGACATTAATCATGTTATATTTATATAAGTAATTTATTGAAAAGTTTAATCACTTAATTACAGGAAAATGATATTGTTTGTTAAGATATATTGTCATTAAAATATTTATTTACATAATTTTTTATATTACACAAGTATTATTTTAAATTACTTAATTATTATATATGACTTAAGTAGTATAATACATTAGTTTTTAACAAAACATTTAGAAGTTTGTCGTTAGTTTCATCGACTGGAGGAGTTGATAATGAAGATTTTACTAGTCCTAAGGTTATTTTTAATTTTAACCATTGATCTATTAAATGTTTTGTCTTTTTTTCAAATTTTAAATAAAAAAAATTTTTTTAGTCAAACAGCCCTATGGGTAGTTCAGTAAACATTGCAAATCTGAGCGATGAGACAGTTGATTTAATTACAAAAGTGGCTGAACTTCAGCAAGAAAAATGGGTGCTGGAAGAGAAAGTAAGAAAACTGTTTATAAGGAGTTCACAAAGTTTTTTATAATAAAATCTTGTAACTACTGTTTTTATTTTATATAGAAAGTTACTTAACAGTTTAGATTGTTATTGGTAACAGTATGACTAATCTATACTTTGAAAACATTTTTAAAAAGTCAATTTTCAAAAGCTATATTTTGTTAAGTGCACTTAAATGAAATAATTATACATCAAACTCACAAAATTATGTTATAAATTTAAAAGTTAAAAGAAATAAATTTTTTTTTTCTGTCATAAATTTTTGCTTTTTTTTAATTTAGTATACTGCAATATGTAGCTTTACAAGTAATATAAAATAGTAACAACTTTTTAAAGAAAAAAAGATAAAACTCATCATCTACTATAAATATCCAATACATTCAGTGAGGAAGCCATTTTTTAAAAATATTTTTCTTAAAGTATAAATAAATATTTAAAGTATAAATAAATAATTCTTAAAGTATAAATAAATCTTAAAGTATAATACGTGTGACTGAGTAACTAGACAAAAATGACAAAAGTTATAAAATATAACTATAAACAAATTTTTGAAAAAGATGGTTTTTTTTTTTGAAAAGTTTAAAAATTAAATAACTTTGACAATACTTTTAGATTTGTCAGAGTTATTAAATTTTCTAACAAAGTTCTTAAGAACTGCGAAAATCATGAGGATTGCCACAAAACTTTGTGCTCTCTATGTTTACACTAATCAAAAAGAGAAATTATATTATTTACTATTGAAAGAGTAAGCAAACATGTGAAAAATGAATTAGAATTTTATAATTAATAGATTCTATGATGAGTTTGTGTGATAATAGTTAATAGCTGCGGGAAAAATCAAATCTACCTAGATGATTTTCTCAACCCCGTTATTTCCGTACTTATACGGAAATAACGGGGTTGATATTATATATTAGCAATTAATTCAAATATTTCTTTTTTTTTATTCAGATTTGCTGCAAGCTCATTTACAATTGTTGCATACAAAAGCTATTAACTTATTAGTTAGTTAGTTAGTTAGTTAGTTAGTAGTTAAACTGTAACTGGACGAATCCAGTGAGTGTGGTTTATCACACTTTGACAGCATTATTCCAAATATATATTAAAAATGTTGAGTTAAAACTTCTTTGATTTTGCGTTATACTCATCTAATCTATTCTTAAATTGATTGACAGTTTTTGAAGTAACAACAGTTTCTGGTAAAGCGTTCCATAAATTGGCCGTACGATTTAATAAAAAATGATGCCGAGGTTAATAGTTCACAATTTCTCTTTCATATTTAAGATTGTGACCTCGAGTAATTGAATCAATTTTAAGCTTCGGTTCATTAATTAAATCAATTTCCTCAAATCTGTTAAGTAATTTAAACACTTGTATTAAATCCCCGCGTTCCCTCCTTGTTTTTAATGTATTAGTCTTGTTTTGTTTTTTTAATTTTAAAATGTAAAGTATTAAAAATCGTTTAAAGTGTTTAATTTAAGCAAAACAACCTTGTTGTTAAAACAATATATAATTTTGCTAACCATATTCAATTCCCTATTTCATATTTACTAAGCTATTATAAAGATTAGGCTCAATTATTCAGTTGGTTACTTTATTTCCCCATATTCTACTTCCCTGCATTTATCCACCTGTCTGTTAATTTGTTTATCAAATAATGTTCCCAGAATTTCTGGGATTTTCATTAAAAGATATTTATTGGATTTTCAAAAAGTTAAAAAAGCATCTATGATATTAAATCACCTACTCAAAATACACAAAACTGTGAATGTTTGATTTGCATGATCAGAAAGTACTAAATACACAAGACTGTAAATGTTTGATTTGCATGATCTGAAAGTACACTAGACTGTGAATGTTTGATTTGCATGATCAGAAAGTACTAAATACACTAGGCTATGAATGTTTGATTTTCATCAAAAGATAAAAGCAAAATAAAAAGCTTTTTTTTTTCTTTTGTTAATTCACCTCCTTAAGGCTGAGAAGGCTACTACAGATGTATATATATATATATATATATATATATATATATATATATATATATATATATATATATATATATATATATATATATATATATATATATATATATATATATATATATATATATATATATATATATATATATATGTAGCAGCACTTCCTCGCAGATCAGGCTATTTGAAAGTCGATGTATGTACTAAAGCACCTGCACTTTCCTGTTTTTTTATGTCACTCGTATGCGTCTAATGCTGCATTTATATATGTGTATATATATATATATATATATATATATATATATATATATATATATATATATATATATATATATATATATATATCCAAAATCTGACAGGTTCTATATTTGTGAAGAAAAAAAACTTTTCCAAAATATATTGACTCTTGAGGTACACTATTTTTCATACAATTTTTTCTGTTTCAGACATAGTGTTTTGAAAACAAATGGTTTGAGATCTTTTAAATAATCTTTAAACCAGCAGATTTCAGTATCCCAAAAACCATAACTGTTAAACTTGTTAATTCTTGTATTCTGTGACTCAAAGTGTCTAATGTTTTAATAAAGTCAAGGAATACTGCTCAAGGAATACCATTTTATCTTTATTGACTTTTTGTTTAATGTTTTCTGCAAATAACGTTGCAGCTACTTTTTGTCGTTTGTGTTGAAAACCAAACTGATTATTATTTATCAGGTTGTTTTCTTATAGATAATTAGACAGCCGGATGTGTTTAACTCTTTTTATGGTTTTCTTTATAGTTGATATTACTTTTTTTTATATATATTGGTATTATTATATAGGCCTGTAGTTTTCAATGTTAATGTGGGACTTGTAAACTGAAAAAATCTTGAACATTTCCAGTCAGGTTGATAGGTTGATGTCTGCAAAGACATGTTTATTATGTGAGCAAGTGGTTTAGACAAAACGCTAGCTGCTTCTTTTAGTATTGAGGGTGATATATTGTCTAGGCTGATAAACTTTTTTGTTTTTAACCTATGCAATTCTTTTTCTACTTGATCAACTGTTACAGATTTGAATTTGAAAGCTCTGTAAGTATGAGTTGGTTCTTGATGTGATAAAGCCCATGAGCTTTATCACAGACTGTGAAAAAAGGCAAAGAAAAGACTCTGTGACAATTTTTCATAAAGATCAGAGGTGGAAGGTGAGTTAATAATAAAGGAAGTGGTTGTGTTGCCAGAAAAATGAATAAAAAAAATATGAAATGTGTCTCAAATCACCTTGATCATCTTGCAGTTTTCCAAAGCCTGCTAGGAAGTTTAATGGTAGCACAAGCCTGATTGATTACTCGTCAAAAAAAAAAGCAATTAAGGCATTATAGACCATAGTGACCAGTAGCATAGATTTTGCCTATGATGCGATTGCCTGTATCACAAAAAATTATTAATGATGAGTCATTATTGGGCATTATTAATTTACTCAAGCAACTTTGAACTAACTCTGTCCAGGTGAAATATGGAAAAATTGCAAAATTTAATCAAAAAATGATTGTACATATCTGATAAATGGGTGTCAAAACTAACCAAAATCTTTACTTTTGTATAGTATTGTATCAAGAAATGATCTTTTATTAAGTAATATCATAATGATGACAAATGCTTATTTTGGGCTGAATTGTCTTTTTTTTATGCCAAAACAGTGGTTTCATTCTTTAAAAAGAGTTTCATAAAATATGGTTGTTTGGTGTGAGTAAAATTTTATCTTAATATGTAGATCAGCTAGTTTTTTATATATATATATATTTTTTTATGTTAGAGGTATAGTTTTTTTTTTGGATTTAGGTTGTGTGCTGCAATGTTAATGGCTTCATGAAATGTTTAAGTTTAAATCATGATCTAGCTGAATAAATGCTATTCCGAAAATCCTCCAAAGTTAGTTTGAATGCAGTCTACCTTTACAATAGGAACTATTTTTGGTTAGTCATGTAGTTCACATGAAAACTAATACAGATATGAGAAGCATTCTGAAATCAATTAAATATGCTGAATTGTAATAGAAAATCTTTCATGATCTTAATTATCTTCTCTTAAAAATGTTCTTCTTTACTGTTACTTTTTTATGTATTTTCATTAATTCAGTGTTTAACCGAGTTTCAAAAGATAAAGGAAGAGAAGATTGAAAATTCTTAAAAAGAGTTATACATTGGTTTTTAGGCAACAAAAAAGTTTATAACTACACACAGTTAGTAACAATATTTTTGAAAAAATCCATTATCTTAGATGCAGTATTTTCCTACAGTCAAATTTCTCCACTCACAGCTTGTCTTTACCCTCCTAGTTTTGGTGCTGTCAGTGATGAATATAGAAGAGATCCCATCAGGATGTTGATGTAATAAAGGAAATATATATCAGGATATCAGAACCATTAGAATATTCTTGCCGATTTTTGTTGGTTACTATGTAGGAATGCTATACGGAGACCGATATTCAATCTTTACTTGACAAGAGAAAAGCCAAAACAACACAATTACAAAGCTACCGCATGATTCTCTTTACATCATGTATTCATCCATCAATGTAGAATCTTTTTAGTATATTACTGACATAAGAATTTAAAAATGCATCTTTAACAATGTTATTATATATAATAGTTTTGATATTATTGTCCCTGATTAAACCTAATTTTAACCCCTTTAATTTTTACCTTTCTTTACCTTCTTATAAAATTAGCTGTTAATTAGTTGCACTCATATAATTTTATATCTTTAATGTTATCACTATTTAACAATTTTTTTAAAATATATTTTTTGTTAATTTACTTAAAAATCAATACCACTTTATTAGTAAATAAGACATTAAAATATATTTTTATTATACTAGTAATCAATAAATAATGTCAATAAGTTATGTTTAAATTTAACTTTTTTAAGAAATCTTAACTAAAGCTTTAATACATTTATAATTATACATTTATAACATATTAGGTACGGCATTTAGAAGAAAGTGGGTCTGTTATGGCCGAAGATCTCATGCAAAAATCATTAATAATCCAAGCTTACGTTGCAGAACATAGTGGAGGTATAGTTTAGTTGTTATCAGAAATTTACATATTATATATATATATACGAGACGAAACTTTGTAGCACCCATATTGGACGATAAAATTGCAATAAACCTATATATATATATATATATATATATATATATATATATATATATATATATATATATATATATATATATATATATATATATATATATATATATATATATATATATATATATATATATATAATTTTATTATAAGTTTTTCGTATTTAAGAATTACTTCCGGACCGCATTCCTAAAACGCAAACTCTCAAAGAAAAAATGTTCGACAAGTTAAAGTTCAACAATGCTGATGATTTGATGAAAGAAAAGACGATGAAAATGCAACAGATGCTTGAAGAAACTCTTGCGAAAAATGCGCAACTACAAAAAGTATAATTTTTCTTTCTTTCTTGTGTATTGGTATTTTCTTTGATTGTAAAAGTTATTACTAAATCTTTAAGGATTTATCATACCTTACTTCACTCCACGCAAAAAAACGAGACGAAACTTTGTAGCACCCATATTGGAGGATAAAAATGCAACAAACATATAAAAATATTGTTCTTGAAAAAAAAATGCTCTTGAACCTCTTCTAAATTAAAATTACCAATATAGGTTAATGTATATTCGTAAAACGAACTGTAACACTGGCGCTTTACCTTTTGGTCTGTATATAAAAGAATATATGGAATTTTATTATTTTAATTTATTTTTATTACTTTTATGAACTATAGGGTAATTTATATTGCTATTATTTAAGATAAACACTATATGGAAAAAAAAAGTGATAAATATCCTATTGAATAGTTATATGTATTTGTATATTTTATACGTTTTCTTGTTATCTGTAAAATAGCTTATTTTTACAATTTTTTTTTTAAATGTTTGTAAATAGATCTGAATTTTATGTTAAATTACTGAAGAATAACTAAAGATAATTTAAAAAAAAAAAAAAATCGCAGTTCAAGTTTTATTAAAATAAATTTTGATAATAATTAATAATACATATAAATGTAAGGTACAAGGTACGAAGAGGTCCAAATATATGGAGTTAACGTGAAATAGAATTATCTTTTCAAAAAAGTTGTCGCTAAGTTACAAACACAAGTTACAAAAAAACAAATTTAAAGTTCTGACAATTTTTTAATTAACTTCGCCTGATTGGCGTCAGGTTGATATTTTAACATTTTTTTTATCTTTTTCAATACACAACTTTCTTATATGTGCGTCTATTTTGAATGTCATCATTTTTAGATTATATAAACCTTATCGTATCTTATGCCTGGTACTTACTTCTTTGTGAAAGATATTTCATAATTTATATATTGCAATTATTCACTTATATACGTATAAACGGTTTTGTTTTATAAATTCCTTTTTTTTAATTAACGGGTTGATTTGTAGAAAATAACCTCGTGTTGCATAAAAAGTTTTTTCAAGTTATACACTTTCGGTAATTATAAACCTTTTGTTTATATTTTCAATTAAAGATCAAAATTTACTTTGAGTTTAGAAATTACAATTGCAAACAGTTGCTTTGCTCTAAAAAAATCGTACAATTAAGTGTACTAGTTATAGAATCCTTTTATCTAAGAAAGAAATGCAATTGATGCAATCCAGTTGGCAACACAAACAAGATCATTCAAGTTTTCAGATGATAAAGAAACTTGCTCCCTTTTGTACAATATAACCAGCATGAGAAAACAACATTTTGCAACTATGGTTACCTGCAATGTCCTTTAGTGTTCGGTGAGGGTAACATTTTGTGCACGTTGTAACGTCGTTGCCTTTATAGTCCTCTCTTTTCCATACAATTCGTGTATTTTTCTTGCGATGGTGCATCTTGGCAGAGGCTCATTTGCTCAGAGTGCAGTCATTTGTTGCGATCCTAATAAAATCAGACCGACATCTTCCACAATAATAATTTTGATCTGTTTGTAGCTACCCATATTGCAAGGCGTGCATTACATTTACATGATACTTTAGACTCGAAGTACTCCGATGAATATTTAGCTTTAGTTCTATTAACTCCTTTTTGAAGAGGTTTAAAATAAAAATGTCCGTCTAAGATTTTAGTTTTTCCTTTTTCCATTTTCATAATCTTTCTCTTTACTTACATTACAACTCTTCATCAAGTTTATTTATTTATTTTTTGTCGTCTGAACATAAGCAATAATAACACGAAGTTTTATTATAATAAATTATAATTCAATTATTACGTAATTTTAAAACAATATATGTTTGACAGTTTTTAAATAAACTTTGTATTTGCGTCAGGTTAATATTTAAAAAAATTTTAAATCTTTTTAATACACAAGATTTCTAAAAGGTACCTCCATTTTTAAGGTCATCATTTTTAGATTATATACACCTTATTGTATCTTATGCCTGGTACCTCTTTATCAGGGCTGGGTTAAGTACTTCTTGGCCTACCGGCACTTTAGGCCTTCTGGCCCTTGTTGGCTTCCTAGTATTCAAATTTAACTGTGGTTTGAAATAAAAAAATCTTTGCAGTTGTTGAGCTATGGCTTTAAAATGTTCTTTCTTTTGTATTTAAACAAGCATCTCGCGTTATTTATTATTAAAAAAACGCTGTGATTAGTATAGGTTTTAAAATACATTTCGTCTGCATTTTAAGATTACAAATGCAGATATGATTTTTAGGTCAATAAAATCCAATACCCGGCTTTCTATTTGAACAATAGAAAGTTCTGAAAAAAGCTTCAAAATGAAGACATTAAGTAAAAGTTAAGATTAGTAGGATATCGGTTCACATGTTTTTACGTACTGCAAGTATCCTCCAAGATATTCATGCTATGGAGATCACAAGAAAACCAAACAGAGAGTTCAATCTAGAATCTGTTCCAAATGATTATTAAAATAGCTGTCTCAAGTAATTTCATTTTGGTCAAGTTTGAAGGCCTCTTGGTTTTTTTTTTTTTTTTTTTTTTTTTTTACGTTGATTTAGGTGCCCCAAGAAGTCCTTACGGTCTTATCACAGAGCACCGCGGAAGAGCATTTAATAGGAAGCTCACGCCTCCTTCCCAACCGATGTCGCAAAACTTGCCCAGAGGTGGGGTTTGAACCACGGAACTTACGTTTCTGAGGCAAGTGCGCTACCACTGCGCCACGGCTGCTTGGCACGGCTGCACGGCACGCCACGTTTTGCTTTTTGATTGTCGTCAAGATCAAGAAGAGCCTATATAGAAAATATTTGTTAATAAGTATGCACAACCACAAATAAAACATGTTTTTATTTGATTTTCGAAATAATTCTTAATCACCTTGCAAATAAAATAACCCTTTTCAATGGCTAAACAAGCATCAGCACGAGCTGACCAACAAGATTTGTGAGAGCTTTGACTTTAAGATGCGTTGATGCAAAGAACTTTGACTTTAAGACATCAATGCGTTGATGCAGAAAAGAAGTTATAAATTATCCGTTGGATTCCACGGCACTCACTCCTACGAGGTTCAAATAGTGAGCAGCACATGGAATGCATTTGGCAAGAATGTTGATCTTGCTTGTAAACCAAAGTTTCCAGAGATATTACTGGCATTGTTGTATAACTAGCCACGGCAATTTTAGATGTTGATCGCATACTAATCAAACTTTTTGAAAAAAATTTCAAGCATGGAAACTGCAAAATGATTATGCATGGGAATCAATACTAAGAACCGCTCAACTGGTTTTCCATTTTGTACATATAGGAAGTAGAATCAACGATGATTAAGGAATATTTCGCAAATTTGAACAACCATTTTTTTTGTTTCCATGAGTTATCAAGTATTGGGCGAGGAAAGGATCAGATTTTACTAATGGCTCAATACATCAAATAAAGTTTCCGTTTATTATTAATATTTTGTTTTATTGCCGCCATTTTGAATAACTTCAAATATTCGATTTGGCATACTTTCCAAATGTTTTCTAAGATCTGCAAGAGATATGTTCTTCCAAACATGTACCACTGGCAATTCATCGACATTCGAATATTATTTCCCTTCTGCATAAACACGTCTTGCTAAGATGCCCCATAGGTTTTTGATCAAATTTAAATCAGATTAGAGCGCAAATCATTCGAATAATTGAATTTTTTTGTTAGTAAACCAAGAGATATTTGACTTTGCTCTATGAATCGCAGCATTATTGCTGGAAAATAAAATTGGTGTAACAAATTTTTGCAAAATATAATTCAAATGACCATTCAACAAATTTCTATATCCTTCAACATTTAATTTAGTCGTAATAAAGCCAATCAAATTTTTTCCAAAACGCACCCCAAATCGTTACTTCTCCACGTCCATAGCTCTTCTTTTTAAAAATATTTTCTCTTTTCTAATTTCATACAAGTATAATTAAAGCCATCTGGACCCTCAAGATTGAATTTTTTTTCATCGGACCACACAATTTTTTACCATTCTTTTTCCCAAGTCATATGGTCCTTTGCCCATTGAAGACGAATGCGTTTGTACGCACTGACTTGTTAATTGCACAATTCACCATCCATCTTGAACATTTCAATCCCAAATTAGTGCCTATTTGTCTCGTGAGATTGTACATTTACTAGTGGCATGCACAATTTGTCGCTGTTGGCAAGCTGTAAGTATAGATTTTCTACCACTTTGATGCTTTGTGCAATAATTTGTAGAACCATTTAAGAAATTATTGATCAAACTTGATGAGCATCTTAGTTTGCAAGCAATTTTCCTGTTTGATAAACGCAATGACCTGAAGGCTTTGATCTTGGCTTTTTCTTCATCGGATAGTGTAGTTCCTCTAATTTTAAAATCTAATAAACTTAATTTGAAAACGAAATTTACTGCTATTTTTTTATGGCTTTTGATGCAATTTAGTTAACAAGGTTATAAATGTGCACCACGGATTTAAACGGTTTTGTAATTTGAGTTAATTAAAGTATAAATAGATTCATGTAAATTATTTTGTTTATTTCAAAAAATGATCTACATATAGAACTTGATCGACATACTTTGAAAGATAGTTTTAAGGTTTCTATTCAGGTGAGGTTATCATTCTGCACCCCACTGTATGTTCAATTAAAGGTTAAGGTTGTCAAAATATACTTTGAGTTTAGAAATTTAAAAAATTTAGAGTTTTAAAATCTTACAATTATACGCGTTAATTGTAAAATTTTTTTATTTAAAATTTCATTGGAAAAGAAATGCAATTGATCATTATTAAAATGGCTACCGTATAATGTTGGGCAGCGTTTAATTTTTAAAATCAGTATCCGCAGTAGATCTATTCGTTTGCTACTGTGGATTTGCATGATACTAAATATGCCCATAATAAAGGTAAATCTATTTTAAATCGGAATTAAGTTAATCGTAAAAAGTAATTTGCAACCTTTGTAAACTGTAATCAAAATAGATTACTCTATAAAAAATTGATTGGATAAGTTTTTAACAACTGTTCTAACTATCAAGTAGTAATCTCAACAAAAGTTTAGTTGTATTTACTTTATCTACGTAAAGTAATCGATTTTTGAATACCTTGATACTTTGTATAAATATCAAAGATTTAGACTCTACTACTTGGTTGAACCTT